ATGTAGGCCAAACTGGCGACAAACTCCCAGAGATCCTCCTGCTTCAGCCCCAGGTGTGTGCCAGCACACCCAGTCCCTATCACCTATGTTTTATTTTGCTCTTTATTTCTACTTTGATGGGAAGGGGAGCAAGGGAGGAAGGAGGGAGAAAGGAAGGGACAAGAAAAAAGTGAAAAAAACCCCAATATTTAGCCTTCTGTGTCTGATTATATTTTTGCATTTCCTATGTATTGTTTTTCTTCCCTTCTGCTTAAAGTCTTCCCCAAGGCAGTGTTTACCCTTCTTTTTTTTCACCTGTGACATAGCCATGTCAACCCCCACCTTCTCCTCTTTTGATGGACTTTTAGATTGTCAATATTTTCACAGTAAATGGGGATAAAGGACAAAATTACAATAGTTTCCTTTAAAGATCTCAATTGACTCTATTTTCATTTTTTTTCAAGGCATCTTAATGTAATTTAACTCCAAAGCAACTAGGAAATAAGTGAAATATCATAAAACAACAAAAGTTTACTTCCTCCAGGGGGCAATAGACAGGATCTATGCAGCATAGCAATTAATCTTCACTTACTTGGAGTCTGGCTTGAAAGGTCATCAAAAACTCAGATTACTGAAAATCACAAGTGTCACCAACAAAAGGCATGTTACTTAAAAGTCAAAAAACTTCCCAAAGGGCTGCCTTCTTTGAAGGAATTTCAGAATACTGTTGGCACAAGTTGGTTACCCTACATGGCTTGATGGCCCTATTAGAGAATCAGAATGCTCCAGTCAGTGCTGTTTTAAAATCTTTTTTTTTTGGTACTGGGGATCGAACTTGGGACCTTGCACTTGCGAGGCAGGCGCCGGAACCACTGAGCTAAATCCCTGGCCCTGTTTTAAAATCTTATTGGGAGGGAAAAAACAAAACCACAGTCTTCTGTTCCCTAATGTATATGGCTTAGCACCCAGAGAAAGCCTCTGCCCCAAAAGAGACTTTCCACATAGGGTTAAGTTACATTAAAGGAGGCATGATCTTTCATTTTCACGATGTGTTTTTTCTTGCAAGGTCTGTAGAGGCAGAAGTTCCACTTGGGTTCTAATACATAGCCCTGTGAGCTCAGCTTCCCGAAAACTTACACCTGCCAGGTTTTAGGTTTTCCCTTACCAGTGACTATATTTACTACTTCATAGCCACTGGAATCACACTGTCACTGTTAACATGATGAAAAATACAGCTACAGCTGCAAGTTTGGCATAAGTGGAATGCACGTCCAAGTACTTCATATCCTGGCTGTATTTCTTGGACAGATTGGACGGATTGTTAGCTTTTTTTTTTTTCAGTGTACAGTATTATTTATTATAAACAATCAGAATATGGGCCGGAGATTTAGCTCAGTGGTTCTGGCGCCTGCCTCGAAAGCACAAGGTCCCAAGTTCGATCCCCGGTACCAAAAAAAACCAAAACAATCAGAATACAATGTAAGTGTGCATTTGAAGGATACCTGAAGCCAAGGTTATTATCATCAAAAGCATTACTTCATTCATAGAGTTTCTCCTTTTTTGTGTGTTATACATTCATTTGAATTTATTTTTAACATATGCCAGGATCACCTAACCTTGTACAGTTCAGCTGTTAAATCATACAGGGAAGACAATTTGGAATGCATGTTATTTATTGCTTGCTTTATTGAATATATATAGCAAATATTTGAGACACATTCAAAGTTAAGCAGGAGTTTAAGGAGCAAGTGATATTTATAAAATGGTTTTATTATTGATGTTTTGTTGCTGTTATGGGATATCCATATCCTTAGAAGACCACACAAAGAGTATGCTAAAGGCTAGCTAATTGGGCAACTTTTCCTGATTTATTTATTCTGAGTATGAAAACAAAGCAAAGCAAAACATAAAAGTATGTTTTAAAAAGTGACATCTTTTTGGTTGCAAAGCACTAGCAGCTGTCAACATGTCATCTAACAAAAACAAAATTTTCACATCTCATTTTTTTAATACTAAAAAAAAAATACTGACTTGAACAACATGAACAATGTTCTGGGTCTTGTGAGCAGGCCAAATCGTGGCTGCTCTCAGCTCCATGATTCTTGTCCAGATTGTTAGCTTTTGAATCCAATCCTGAGAGTGCTTCTCCTCATTGCAACACTTTTTCATATTGGCTACCATGATCCTCTGCACATCTTGCAACTCAGTGTTGATGGAACCTAGGTTTCGCCGGGCATGACTGTCAATGTAGAGCTTCTAGATTTTCTGAATGAAGGTATCAAACTCAATAAAAGAATAAAGCCTAGACACAGTAGCCACCTTCTTCTCATGCTGTTCATCAAATTCTGAATGCAAATCTTCTAGGAAGGCAAAAGCCAATTTTTTAGGGAAGGGAGCTTTACACAAAACCAAGTAACACACTCCCTGCTCAATAATGTTGTGAAAAGTCATGGTTCCTGATTCCAAGGTATATCTTGTAGGGTATTGTTGACTCAACTTTTGAAACAGTTCCTTAACCTGACTCTGATACTGTTGAAGGTCTGGGCCAGATTGTTCATCCTCCTGCATCGATGTGACCAGCGGGAGCCTATCTGCCACTCGGGTGATCATCAGTAACACCATCTTCTCTGGCTACAGGGACCCAGCACTGGTCCAGACTGCTGGAGGCTTTGTTCTCACTTCCTCTGCTGAGAGGACAGTAAAACTTCTACTTTAATTTCTGCAGATATAACTGTTTGCATCTCCACATCTTGCTCAGATTTTTTTATTTTGTACCGGGGATCGAACTCGGGATCTTGTACTTGTGAGGCAGGCGGTGGAACCACTGAGCTAAATCCCTGGCCCAGATCTTTTTTTTTTTTTTTTGACAGGGTCTCACTATGTAATTCAGGCTGGCTTTGAACTCACTATGTAGCCCAGGCTCACTATGTAGCCTCCTGAGTGCTGGGATTACAGGTGTGCCCCACCACACCCCACAATTGGTTTTATTTTCAATTCTAAAATCTACCAACACTCAATTTCATAAAATAGAGTTAGCCAGCTATGGTGTTTCATGCCTGTAGTCCCACCATTTGGGAGGCTGAGGCAGGAGGATTGCATCAAGTTCAAGGCCAATCTGAACTACATAGCAAGATCTTGTCTCAAAAAAAAAAAAAGTAAAGGTTCTGATGAGCTGAGCAGAAAAGAAGTTTTATAGACAGTATAGTGCTCAGAAAAACAGGAGAAAAAAAAGGCCTGGTTCGGTGGTGCAGGCTTGTAATCACAGCTACATAGGAGGTTGAGGGTAGCCTGGGCAAATTATTGAGAATGTGTCTAAAAAAAAAAAATTTAAAGGCTGGGTATATAACTGTACAAGACTGGGTTCAATCCCTGATACTGTGAAAAAAAGAAAAAGGAAGATTGGTCATTTCAAAGTTACTTTTCTTGTAAGGCGGGGATAAGGAGACAAAACAATAGGAAAAACTGGTTAACTTAAGGTTATATTTTGTGTAACGATTAAGGCAGAGGGAATTGCTTTATTGAAATTGAATTACCCTGTTTGAGAAATTTCACTTTCTCTCTAAAGCAGATTTCTTTCTTTTTTTTGGTACTGGGGATCGAACTTGGGTCCTTGTGCTTTCACAGCAGGCAGTGGAACCACTGAGCTAAATCCCTGGCCTAGATTTCTTAGAAATATAGCAAATAGTTTAGTTTTAGCTCAGTGATATGAAATTTTAACCTGAGTGATTCTTAGCCTAGTTTAGCAGCCTAGTTTGTAGGGGTCTAGTACAGGAGCTTAGTCCAAAACAATCATCTTGGGTAATTTTTATTCAGTAGGGTTTTTTTTTTTGACAGTCTCACTAATTTGCCCAAAATGGTCTGGATCTTGAGATCCTCCTGCCTCAGCCTCCTGAGTAGCTGTGATTACAGTCAAGTACTGCTAAGTCCAGCTAGGAATATCCTTTTATGTACTGCAGTGACCTTCCTGTTTTTGCCTCTTTGGGGTCTTGGAGGTGTTCAATAGATCCTTCCAAATTGTACCCTCTTCCCCTATAAACTTCCATAAACACTGTATTTCTCATACCTTTGCCAACACTTGGTATTACCAGTCATTTGATATGTCCAGTACTAGAAGCTAATGTGGCTAGAACAGAGAAGGTAGGTGAAGGCCAGGCCAAGTAGGAGTACTGGCATGATCTAACCTGGTAGTTGGGGGTAGATTTGCAGAGTAAGGCAAGGATAGGAGGCAACAGGGGAGCCATGAAAGGGTTTTAAAGAAATATCACAGGACTTTAATTTATTTATTTTTGGTGCCAGGGATCGAACTCAGGTCCTTGTGCTTTCGAAGCAGGCAGCGGAACCACTGAGCTAAATCCCTGGCTCTATCGTAGGCTTTTAAAAGATCCTCCTGGGCCGGGGGATTTAGCTCAGTGGTTCTGCCACCTCGCAAACGCAAGGTCCGGAGTTCAATTTCAGGTACCAAAAAAAGATCCTTCTGAGCTGGGTAAGGTGGCACACACCTGTGCTTCCAGCACTCTGGGAGGTAAGGCAGGAGAATTACAGGTTCAAGCTTAGTGAGACGCTGTTTCAAAATAAAATATGAAGGGCCAGGGATTTAGCTCAGTGGTTCCGCCGCCTGCCTCGCAAGCGCAAGGTCCTGAGTTCGATCCCCGGAACCAAACAAAACAAAACAAAATAAAAAAATATAAGAAAGGCTGGGGATATAGCTTAATGCGAAGGCCCTGGATTTAATCTTCAGTACCACAAAACAAAACAAAACTCCAGGCATGGTGGTGCAGGTGTATAATCCCAACACTCACAGGCGTGAGGATCTGTGTTAGCGTCAAGCCTGTGCTACACAGCGAGTTCGAGCCCAGCCCGAGCTACACAGTGAGGTTTAATCTCAAAATCAAACAAACAAGAATTAAATGACGTCATGCCCGAACAGCGCGTGGCCCGGAGGCGTTTTCTCTCTTTAATGCCAGCATTTATTCTGAAGCACCTCACTTCCACTTTCCCGGCGGGCGGCGCTGTCAGCCTTTCGGCTGGTCTGAGAATTGGCCAAAAGGGATGGCCTCTCGGGGGCGTGTCCTGCTCAGGCCCCGCCCCCGAGGCGTCGGCACGTCGTTCCGTCCTCCCGCTCGCCGCTTAGCTTCTGAGGCAGCCGCAACTGAAGGAGTCACTGCGGGGAGAGCTGACTAGGCGACTGACCAACGGGTGGAGCGGACCCGTGGCCGGTGAGTGTCCCGCGACCTCTCCGGCGTCTGGCTTCTTGGTCTTCGGGGGGCCCTGACCCTGCTTGGACCCTCGGGAGCCTTGATTTGTCCGGGCCGCTGCGTCCCCGCGCCACCCTGAGGGGATCAGCTGGCGGGGGCCGGCCACAAGCGGGGAGCAGGCAGCGGAGGGGACCGGGAAGGGCGTGGAGGTGTTAGGTGAGGGCGAAGCCCCGGATTCGGCTCTCTGAGAGGCGTTTCAGTAGGTCCCGGGAGGCCAGAGTGGTACCTGGGGTGTCCCCAAGGGGCCCAGCCCTTCCTTGTGTGTCGAGCGCACTTGGCGAGGTGAACCCCCTGCCGCAGCTGGTGGAATCCGGCACGTCCGCCCACTTGAGCTCCACGGGAATCTTGAGCTGGCCCCTGCGTCCGAGGTGAAGCCCAGCTGGCAGCCTCGCTGGCTGTCGGCATTGGCAGGTCTTGTCCTCCTCTGTCGTGACTCACATCTGTGGAAAGTGCCCTTTGAATTGCAATAGAGGCTTTGCAAGTGACCACTGGTATGCCTTGGTGTAGAGTGCGGGACTGGGAGGGGTCAGGTGCAGGCGCAGCCGGTTAGTCTGCACAGTTTGGCTGTCATGTCCTAAGCACAGTGTCCTAAGCTCCAGATGTCCTAATTGCCCTGTAAAAGCTGCCAGGACCGCCTCTCACAGTGTTGGTATAGGGCCTATCTGTGTCATGGTATTTAAATTGGTTCTGAAGGACTGGTTGTTGTGGCTTGTGGCTGTTCATCTTTACTGTGTTATGATGGCGCTATAAAACAAATTAGGTGGAAGGGCCGGGGATTTAGCTCAGTGGTTCCGCCTCCTGCCTTGCAAGCGCAAGGACCAGAGTTTGATCCCTGGTACCAAAATAAAACAAATAAGGTGGAGTGTGATTGAAGAAATACAAACTGTGTAATGCTTTCTAGTTAAGGAAGTCCTCTTACTCTCAGCCCCTTCCAAAATCTTGTGAGTGGATAGTTTTCCCACTTGTAAAATGTCATCAGTGAGAGACTCATACGAAGTAACTTGAGCTACATCCCACAGTCAGGAAGATGAGGCAGATGATCTTGAACATGGTGGTCAGGCACTAGATTTTGTGCTCTTCATTAAATGGAGTTGTAGAGATTGGAAATGGATTGTGTTGTTTAAGTGATTTTCCTTCTCTTAAACTGTCCTATCAACTAGAAGGAAGTGAACCTACTGTTTTTGTAGTTTTGAATTTCTGGTATGGGATTATCAACCATTGTGGGGTTTTTTTTTTCCCCTTAAGAACTAGGCAAGTACTATAGCACTGAACTACTTTGCCAACCCTTTTTTATTTTGAGACAGGATTTCCCTAAGTTTCCCAGGCTAAGCTAGAACTTGGAATTCTTCTGCCTCAATTTCCCCAGTAGCTGGAATTATAGGCTTATGCCATCACTCTCTGCTCAGTGTGTGTGATATTTGTGTGTATGTACATATGTATGTGTATGTATATGTGTGCACATGCATGCTTGCTGTAGATCAGAACCCAAGGCTTCCTGCATGCTGATTACATTACCACTGAGTTAAGCCCTCAGCTCTAACCAGTGTATTTTGATTAGTTTTCTGATTAATTTCTTCAATTTACTTGGGAAGGGCCATAAGTAATATTAATAAGTCTGTGTTTATTTGTTAGGTGGTATTATTTATTTACTTATTTATTTATTATTTTTTTTTGAAGACAAGGTTTTGCTATGTAGTTCAGGCTGGCCTTGAACTCACTATGTAGCCCAGGCTGGCTTCAAATTGAAATAATTCTTCTGCTTCAGCCTCCCAGAATGTTGGGATTATAGGTGTTCATCACCACACCCAGCTTTAGGTTTTTTTCAAGAAACATCACAAGCTCATCACAAGCTCATCACAAGCATGGAGGCACACACCTGTAATCCCAGCTAAATGGGAGGAAGGATGGCAAATTTGAGGCCAGTCTGTGCAATTAGTGAGACAGTTTCAAAATTAAAAGGGTTCGGGGGAGAGGCTGGGGATATGGTTCTATGGTAGAGTGCTTGCCCTAGCATGCATGAGGCCCTGGGTTCAATTCCCAGTACCACAAAAAACGAAAGAAAGAAATATCACAAGATGTAATTTTTGTTTACTAGTAGTTTATAGTTCAGTAGGCATTTATAAGTTTTCTTGGTAAAATTGGTGATAATCACCTTTTTAATTTTTTGCTGTGCTGGAAATGAAACCCAGGGCTTCATGTGTGCTGGCAGGTGCTTCACTACTGAGCTGCACCCCAAGCCCAATACTTCCTGAAAAGGGAAGACATTTTCAAATCATCACCTATGCCAGAACACTGGTGAGGATGTGGGAATTGGTGGGTGTTGGAACTCACATGCTCATTGAATGACCTAATCCTACTGGGGATATGAAGAAGGAAATCCTGTGATTCCTCCATTGTCTGACTTGATTTCCTTTTTTGTTTTTCCTGGGCCAATAAGTTTACATGCTGTTGAGTCACCAGAGTCAGGAGTGTGAGCCACTCCAGAAATGCCAGTGCCAATGAGATAAGATATAGAAAACAACGCGTTGATTGCCTTTAACTCAACAAGTAGTATGCCAAAAACTTGTACAACTGAACAGCTGGGGCCTCCTTTTTTGTTTTCTCTTGAAAGCTGATTTTCTTTACAGAAAGGTTAGAGTCTGCATCAAGATTGTGATTGCACCAAAAACTGAAATATTATTTCTCCAGGAGGCAGATCTTTCTATTTTTTATTTTTATTAATGATTACATTCATTGTGGGGAAGATCTTTTTTGTTTTGTTTTGTGTTTTGTTTTTGAAAGAGGGTCTGGGTTTGTAATGCAGCCTGGCCTTGACCTCCCAGCAATCCTCCTACCTCAGCCTCCCAAGTAGTAGAATTATAGGTATGTGCCACCATGCCTGTTTTTTTTTTGATTGGTTTTTTTTTTCCCCTCATTTTGCTTTGCTTTGTTTTTCTTTTTTTAGACAAGGTCTTGCTCTTTAGTTCAGGCTGTCCTGGAACTCACTGGGTAGCCCAGATCAGCCTTGAACTTGGGGTGATTCTCCTGCCTCAGCCTCCCAAGTGCTGAGAATATAGGTATGTGCCGCCATGACCAGCTGGGAAAATTTTTGTCACACAAATAGATTTGTTTCCTTCCCAAGAGTATCATAGGCGTAATTATTGTCATAGTTCGCTGTAACTTTTCAGGATAGAATTTTTTTTTTTGGTACGGGGGATCGAACTCAGGACCTTGTGCTTGTGAGGCAGGGGGCAGAACCACTGAGCTAAATCCCCGGCATAGTTCTCTGTAACCTTAAAAGGGCTTTGGGGAAGAATGGCATAAAAGACTGATGCCTTGTACCCAGCTTGCCTGACTTTTTCTAAATATTCCCAATGTCTGTAGCTTTTTTCTGATGAGCTTTCTTAGTTTTAGAATACTCTGGTTTCACTGCATTTTGTATTCAATCCTACAGTTATCTGACTGAACTATTAAAGTACTGTACTAGGGCTGTGGGAAGGTGCTTTTGTGATTGTAACAATCTGATGTCATGATGCCATGACTTTATTATTATTGTTAATTTTTAGATGCCATATGATTTTAGTTAATGTATTTGACTGGCTGGACTCATATGTAGCTATAATCAGATTTTTTCTGCCAAACTCATGATCTGAGCATACAGGTGTACTAAAGGAATTGGTGGGACAGGATATTTGAAGTTAGAACTGTTCTGAAAAATCTAGAACATAAGACTGTCTTTTTTTTTTTTTTTTTTAAGAGTAGGAAATATTTACTGAGGGAAAGATGGCTCCTGATTGAGAGGGACAGGAAGGGACACCTGTAAAGTGGGTTACCTGGGGCCCCATTTCCCAGGGGGGATTTTATGGAGCAAAGCCACGAGGTGAGGAGGTTACAAAGTGGGACAAAACTACAGTCAACCAATAAGATCCAAGGGAAATTCCCAAGGTGGGCATGAGGTGGGACAAAACCACAATCAACCAATGAGATTATAAATACAGTTGCCCAGGTAATATTGATTAAATAGAGATCAATGGGGAGACAAGTCATGTAGCAAGTGTGCATAGAATGAACAAGCAGTTTTCAAAAAGGAAATGGGCCAGGGAGATTTTGGTCCCCATTTAAGGTGATTGATTTCTATTTAGAGTATCAATCAGTGCTGTTCATCTCTTGGGGAAGTATGTGAGTGTAGTACTTTTTCTTTTTGAGTATTGGCCTTGAGTACGGGCCCTCAGTTGTCTTCTGTATTGATTCTCTGAGGGGCCCAGCTCTCTCTCACTATCTACCACATAACTAATTAGCTTAGCTGTCTACAATATTCCCTCCTCTGAAGAAGTATCCCTAACTGCTGTTAGGGGAGAAGGGTCGATGTATAGGAGACCGCAGTCAGGTCCCCTCTCCAGAGAGCTAATCTAACGGACCTCAGATAGAAGTCATGTTGTAGTTTAGCAGTTATGAACTTTTGTTTGTTTGTTTGTTTGTTTGTTTGTTTTGGTACCGGGATAAAACTTGGGACCTTGTGCCTTTGAGGCAGGCGGTAGAACCACTGAGCTAAATCCCCCCCTGCCCAATGAACTTTTCTTTATAAGGTCAATCTGGTGGATCCCAGTAAAAGGAGTCTAGCATATTTGTCATTGGTTCCATCTATATGATCACTTGCAGTTTGGCAGCTACTAGGCAAGAATAAACAAATTTTTTGTATAATTAAAGCATGAGCACTAAAAGGCAGGTTGGGGAAAGAGCCACGTTTAGAAACTGTTATTAAGGGACTGGAATAGTGATCTTATCTGCTGGCTCTTAGACCTCTTTACTGTTAGAGGTTATCTACAAGTCTCTCTAGTTTTAGCTGTAAGAAAATAGTTTGGTGGTTTTGAAGGACAATTTTAGTTAAGAAATTTTAAAATTCTTGTTGAACTCTTATAGATTCTACCAGTTTTTCTAATGACCAGTAACAGTGGCCAGCTTCCAGTGTAGCTGGAAACTGC